TTTTGACGTGTAGAGAATCAAATTTTACGTTGAGTAATGATATAATATTAAATTTCACATATTTTGATTTACAACGCTATTGTAATAGGGGTGCGATTTATTATAGATTTTAATTGTGCTGTCGAGACACGTAGTGTATAGTCACTCCTATCAACGGAATACCCATTACCCAGACATTAGATACGTTGACCGCGTCACTAGGTGTCCTCAACGCAGGTGCAAGAAGTGTAATACTATTTAGTATCGAAGACTTTGAGTAGGCAGGGAAAAAGCAACAATTACACCTCACCAAGCTCAATGCTCAGTATATCGATAGAATATATTTCACAAGACTTTTCTGGCTGCTCAGCCTTTGTTGCATCATGATCATACATGAGATGTCGAGTATCAAGACATTTTGGCTCTTCATGGATGGATGGTGGATGGTGATAGACTGTAATAGCAGTGCAATATATCGTTCGATATATTGCACTGCTATTACAATGGTGTCGTAACTAAAAATTGTGGAATTGAAAAAACACGATTTGAAAATGAAAGAATACTGAATGAAACCTATATACATATTTTGTAATTTATAAATGGATAATTAAGTATTATGTATAAATAAAAACAATCACATTCGCAATAAGCCTCATTTTTTTCATATTTTCTTATTTTATTTCAATTTTCAAAATTGCGTTTTCTCAATTTCTCAATATTGACTTTACGATATTATTGTAATAGCGATATGACAAATTCTGGACTCGACAGATTCGTGATTCGGCACATTCGTTATTCGCCGGTGTGGTGCTATGCCAACGAGTGGACACCGATACAGCCCTGTCAGGGCAGCACTGTGGACGAGAATTTGTCCGGTTCCGAACACGGGCTCTGGTGAGCCGTTTCCTCATGCTCCTACTGGGTATTCCCACTGATACCAAAAGTAGTGGGAACGAAGAATAATCAGACAGTTCCATTGATGGTGGTAATATTTGGCATTGAAAAATAATATTTCATACTCTTTTTTTATTATTGACCTCTTCTTTTTTTTTGACACCTGGTGACATTTATAACCTGCTTATCTTTTGATATAGATCTAATAAATCTTGGTTTCTTGGTGGCACCCTCCATTCAGTAGGTTACGTTAGTAAGTGTATGAAAAAACCACACGAACCGAGCGGCCGAAGCGAGGGTGTCGCGGGAGCGGCCGGCGAGTATCAGAAGCCAATTTGCGTGCGATTCCGAAGATGTTTTTAAGGTGAAACTATATTATAATTTAATAATTAATATAATATTAGTGTACAAATACAATCAACATTTACTTAGTTTTCAAAATAAGCATCTAAATTTGTTTTTTAATGCTCATTTGTCTTAGTCTTGAGGCCCAACTTAGAACTATCAAAGTAAATTTTACAAATCAAAATTTTTTTCGAGCTCAGAACAAATTAAAATATCCATCGATTTATTTTATGTCTCAGAAAAAGAGAGGATGTGACCGTTTAGATATTTTTGCCTACTGCTTTTGCAAATATAAAACGATCATTTAAATCTACGCCAAATAAAATTATACCTAATTACATTGTAATACCCTCTGAAGAATTTATGTGGTCTGTGATAATACCTCTCTCGTATATTTCTTACTGGCAGTTATCTAATTTCTTGCATTTTTTTTTAATGTAAAATAATAATTGGTTATTGAACACAAGATATATGAACATAAGCACACTGGCTGGCGGTTGTACGGTAAGGAAAGGTGTTTGACGGACGTGTACGCCGAATTTCGGCTAGTATTAATTGCCGCATTTTACGAGTGTGTTGTTAGTCATAGCGCAGCGTAGACCAGTCATGCTTGCAAGCTTCACTATTTGGTTGATTTCGGCATATTTTAAATAACGCAAAATTGTTTTTAAAAATGAAATTGTACTTCAAGGACCGACAGTATCATTTGTACGTTACGATGGGGTATTTAAAACATGTAGCAGGAAAGTAGGGAGTACGCATTAGTACCGTCAGATAGGAAAGGATTAAAGAGAGGTTTATAACTTTTTCATTATACTTAATTTGATCTGACTCTTAATTTAATCTCTCTCTCTCTCTCTCTCTCTTTCTTAATTTCATTTCAAAAAATAATTATAAGGCCTAGTTTGCCGAGAAACCGGCACTCTGACTAGGTGTTCACATTAAGCCGGATATCGCAAGAAAACTGGAGACTAAAGTGCTCACCTTAGTCGGAATTCAGTCCACTGCGCACGATAGACGACGAAACTGTGGTGTTGTGGTTGTATCTTAGAAGGCTTAATAGAGTAAAAAGAAAACATTGGGTACATCCTATCTTTAGATTTTTAATGGGCCAACTGAGAAGTGACGAGTCTAAGTTCTACAATTATTTTCGGATGACAGCATCCTCTTTTTATGATTTATGGGACGACTTTCGTCGTCACTCACATTGCCTGTAAGTACTCAGATGCAGTAGTACGAAATAATTGGTACCTAAAGTCTACTTTCCTAGACATACAACAAAATTAATAGTACCTCGATAGATTTACGAAATATTTTACTACAAACTGCATCTAATAACTTTTAATGTAATTCTTTGTAACTACACTTTCTATATGAAAGTAGCCTTTAGGTACTTTTTTTGGGAATATTGAAAGTGCATTACGTTCTTTTAAATCTAAGGTGGCGCGGCGGGAGAGTAATGCTTTGCGGCCGGACCACCTAAGTAGTTAAATATTTCGTAAATGTATCGAGATACTATTAATTTTGTTGTACGTCTAGGAAAGTAGACTTTAGGTACTAATTATTTTGTACTATTACATCCGAGCACTTATAGGTGGTCCGGCCACAGAGGTTCACACAGGATAAATATATGCTCGAGACTCGAGAGTTTCAAAATTGACCAGTTGTCGAAAATGGCGTATTAACGAAAATAGTTTATTAAGGAAAATGGTGAGTGATCCCCTAATTCGTACTGTCACGTACATTTTTTTTTATAACGCACACACTCAAGAATTTACCTAGGCGGCCACGCCGCGCGCCTTCGCATCGCTTTAAATCGCGTGTGAGGCTTCTTATTTAGGACTGCGTCTTCTTAAATAAAACTAATTAGGTACAGTCCAAGACAAGAGTGGTATTATTACTGATACAACCATGGACAAGAAAAAACGCCCAGGGTTCCACCAGTAGGGCGAAATTAGGGGATCACTCGCCATTTTCGTTAATACGCCATTTTCGTCAACTGGTCAATTTTGAAACTCCGCTAATCATGGACTTACCATTGCCCGTAAGGAGTATTACTCCTAGTAGAACTAAGGTTAACTTGTCCGATGTCTATTTCTTGCCCGTGAACCACCCGAACTGGCTCACCTGGGTGGACCTGTCTGGGGTCACCTATAAGTCCACCTGGATGGACTATGGGCAATTATTTCTTCCCGTGGTTAACCTAGGAATTTTTCTTTTCTCGTGAATTAAAATCCCTTTAACATTTCAATTACAAGACTTTTGTCTATTAATTGAAAATTTTAATGAATCGAATTTGCTGACAGTAGTTGGCCGAAGGACTAACATGCAAATAAATTTTAAAAGTACCTATAAAATTAGTGAAGAACTTTCATCGTGAGAATGGTGGCAATAACCCCCATACAAGTACAAGTTTAGAAACGGCTAATGTTTGATGTTTTAAAATGCTAGAGACTATTTTTGTTACCTTTTAGAGTTCAGCAAACAATATGAAAGTTTTATATATATTGTAAAATTTGTGTATTTAGTTAATATAAATATCACGCAATAAACATTAGTCTGTGCATTTTATAAAGCGATTTATACATAATGGCCAGCATCAAGCCGTCAACGTATAAACTTTAATTTTACTTTATACGCAAGAGGTGAACCACGGGAAGCAGTAATTGTGGCCGTGGTCCACGGGCAAGAAGCTGGTAGAACCACGGACAAAAAACGTCCCCTTACCCCATGAACCACGGGCACCTATAAGTATTAAGTGTACCTAGTGACCACGAATAGAACTACACGGTAGGACCACGGACAAACGGAGACCGTTTTGACAGCTTATTGAAAGTCATTGCCATACCTAGAAGTTAAATGGCTTTCACTATGCAGACAGTAGGTACATACGTAAGAATCGCTAAGGCTGCATACAAATCAGACGAAAACGCCAGCGACTCGCGAGCTGCACTAGTTCGAGTCTCTCGCGCGCCATGGAAATCAAAAGCACTACGCGCTAATGCTTTCGCCAGACCTGTATACGCACCCAAACGAGAAGAGCATTCGTGTGAAGCTGTACCTTCCTACTAAAGGACAAGATCGCGACTGCAGCCAGAATCACTCCCATTTGCATTTTGTCAGTTGTACCGCTTACTCATTACCCACGCGAGCAAATTTGAAGTCATTCCAATTAATGCGGCAGACTAGAAATAAAACTGGCGAGCGGTCCCGTAAGCTAAAAATTGGCTTACAGAAGACCTTTACCAAAAACATACTTTACCAGTTCGTACTTACCGAAAAATTCATACTTTACTAGAAATCATACTTTTGAAACCGGTCCCGTAGTAACGATTATTTTGCTCTGGTGATACAAACTTATTAACGCCAGGTGAATTACCTTGCTTTAAGTAGCAAATGGTTACCATTGAAGAAAATCACGTTGCAGGTTACATTACCACATTACAACAAATCGGGACATTTCTGGTTTGAAATTACCATAACACCATTTGTGACTGATCCATACTACCCATAATACCACTTACAAAACAGACTACCTTACCAACCTTCAAAACAAGTACCTTTTTACCCGAAAAATCAAGTTTCATGAACTTTCAAATGAAACTTGACCTTTGCTCCTGGAACAGGCAAGAACATTAACTACCAATTTACTATGCTTCTATACTACAACTAATCTAACTTACAAATTTCATTCTATATTAGTAAAAACGCTTCACAGCGTTATATTTGGACAACTTTCATCGGAGATAAAAGTTGTCCAAGATAAGGAGTTAAAAACCTACCTTGTGCATCCCCTACAGCCCCGCCTTCGCCTCCACCAGATATATTACCATCTCCAGTTGTAGAGCCATCAAATCCTGCGAAAATAATTGAACTTAATCTTTGTCAAGGGCACCCCAGCGTCCCAGTGGAAGGTACGCAAATGAAGCACATTCTTACCAGTCATATCCATATTAGAGTCATCTTCGCCAAAATTTGTTTCATCGTTATTTGTACCATCTTCATCGTCATCCCACATACTTTCGTTAACAAATTCTGGTTCCATTTTCGGTGCCACTGCGTTGTTTTCATCTTCGTCAGGAATGGTTACAAATTCCTCTTTTGCTGATCCAGATGGTCCGGCTTCTAAAGGATCTACACATTTTCGTTTCGCAGGTCCACTTTGTGAAGATGACGAATTATTTGATGCTATTGATGGCCTATTTGGTCTCTTAACAGCTACTGGAGTTGAGGAGGGCTTAGTATCTAAATCAGTCTCTATTTTAGTCATAACAGATTGCCGGTTTTGCGACGATCGCGGGCCTGGCCTCGCGGTCGGCTTTGGTTTGGATGGCGTGGAACTTTCTTCATTTTGATTTCCAGTTAGACCTTTAACCTGGAGCTGTTCCGCGGTACTAATAAATGACGCTAATTCTTCTTGTTTAACATTAACTTCTCCTTGGTACATGAATTGTAACAAGTCTCGTAAGGCTGAATGACTAACATCTTTTAAAAATACTGAAACAAAAACAAAACTCATTAGCACAAAACAACCCAAGTTGTGTAAAGAAATTAGTTGTGAAAAATTGCTTATTACCTATTGGATGCTGTGTTGGATTTAATTTGAACATCTCTTGAAAATAGGGAGAACATACTGATAGTACTAATTTATGCGCCTGTAATAATCTGCCTTCGGCAGCCAACGTTACATCTACCAAATCCCCACGCGACAGCAGGCCGTGAAAGCCTGCTGACATGTTCGCGTGGAAATTGTTCCAACATAATGAAAATTGTTCGTCCGACGCCATGATGGCGGCGATTTCACGAAGGACCTGAAAGCAAAAAATCTTTATTAGTCTTGTTTGGATAGTAAAAATATGCATGCCAAACATAACGTTATAATAAAACTTACCTATCCTATACTTTTGTACTTTATGATTCCGATATTAGAAACATTGAGAAAAAAAATAATAAAATGTTTCTAATGAGCACACCGTATAATCATTTCACGTCCTTCCCGTTTGAGCGCTGTTCACGATATGATGACGCAAATGTAACGTGGTGTGTGGCGTCACAGGGATACCATGTTTCGACCAATCTACATAAAGCAAAAATAATTTATTTTCTCGTAAAATATAAGTACTTTCTAGAATATTTATTTTTATAAAATATTTACTATTTTTTCCACAACTTTTAAATATAATTTCAAGGCTTGTTAAGACACATTTATTGTTTTAAAATTTTACTACAAAAACATGGAATCTGCTGCGTTGTACACGGACATGTCAAGTCATGGAAGAAAATAAAATATTGGCTGAAGAGAAACAAACCGATATGTATCAAGTTTGTAGTAGTTTGTATTGTTTATAATACTATCGTTCCCTATAAAATCTCTGAAAGAGAGCTGTTAAAATACTCCCTGGATGTTTAATATCGGTATGCCAATAACTTTTTCTTACTAAAAACGACACTCCACAGCATAGATTTTGTAAGTAATAATTATTTCTTGTAAACCTAAATTTATTACTCCTGACCAACTAAGGACTAGTCATGAAATATAAATAATAAAAGATTAATTCAATATGGTATAATTAACGTTATTTTGACTTTAAACCCTACGAAATAAACGTTGATAGCAAAACAATTACATTCTTTTCATAAAATAGTACCATTTTTTCAATTCCTGACTACAAGTAAATATCAAATCTTGTGCCATCATCCAACGCTACGAAAACGAAATAGCAATACGTTTGGAGAGTATGATTATTCCTTATACAGTTTTAAACTTTATATGATAGGAATACGAAACAAAATTGCATGAGCACTTTTTATTTTGGTGTTGCCAGCTTTTTGTAGTTTCCACGATTGTGTTTTTGAATTTAAATCTTATCATAACCGATTTGAAAAAATAGTGTATGTTTAAACTACCAAAAGGTAAGGCCATCTACACTTGTGAGTTGCTTCCGTAAAATATATTATCTAAGAAACTTATTACCTTTTATTACCAACCTAGGTATAAGTACTAATGTATTCTGTAACTTCTCGACTTATCGTTTCGCTTTGATATTTGTAAATAAGTTGAGCCAGAACTCTATGGGGGAATTTCAATGTTATTATAATTATAGGTAGGTAGGTAGTAAGTACCTTAATTCAAGGAATTGGAACTAGTTCCGACTTGTAATTTTGCAACTTCTCATCATCAATCCATTTTATACGTCCCACTTAGGGAATGCAAATCCGTATCATATTTAAAATCCGGATTTCGAAGATAGATTTCACAGAGAATCCGCATAACCCGGATTTTTTTAGGTTTTTCGGAAAACAAATATTAATAATAATAACGCACACACTCGGCATAGCCCCGCACTAGGGAAACCCTGTGTCGCGGGTGCCATGGACACACACACATACCACAAATTACACCCAAACTCACGAGACAAATAAAATGTAGGCCATACAAATATTTCTCCCGGCCCGGGAATCGAACCTGGGACCCCTGCATGGTAACCGTTCGGCCACGGAGGCAGTTAAATATTGCTTATGAGTTGGATGTAATTTGGGGCTACTTCTTGGTGGTGTAGAGCTGTGAAGATAGAATGGTGCTCATGGCTTTTTTCGATGACCACGTGTTAAACTCAGAAAACAGATGGCCGGGGGTGGAGAGGCCACGGCGGAAGAAACCTGCTTGTTCTTCGAAATTGCGCATAGATTTTGCCTATCATGAGACAATCCTAGTCTAAAAATCAATCTTCGTAAATAATATGGGTCAAAATTACTAAACACTAGACATTGACTTACAAATAAAACACTAGCCATTAAATATTTCAAAATTCAATAACATAGAAAAAATACAAGAACAAAAAAGTTTAACAAATACATCACTACGTAACTGTCAATAAAATGTAAAAAAAATCAAACATATGTATAAGTGTTTAGAAATAACCTAACATTTTTTCTCTGAAATAAAAATTTAATTGCTGCGGATTCTGTTGTACAATATTCCAAAATTCTGTTTGCGTTTGCGGAAGCGCAAATCAAAAAAATATTTAAAGAAATCCGGATTCGATTTTCAAATACGAATTTTAAAGTGTAGTGAAAATCTTAGAAAGTCTGGATTTTTTTAAATTACGGATTATCCGGATTGCATTCCCTAGTTCCACTGCTGGACACGGGTCTCCTCTCAGGTGAAGTTTTGGGCCAAAGTTCGCCACGCTAACCCAATGCAGCTTGGGGACTTCACACGTTTTCCGAGGATTGTGAACCTTCTTCGACGTGCAGTGAGACCGACGATGTTTTCCTTCACCGAAACGACAAACTCATTATAAATTTCAAATTATATTTCGCACATAAATTCTGAGAAATTCAGAGGCCTGTGCGAACCCAGATTCGACCCCACGATCTCTGCTTGAGAGGCGGTGTGGGTAAGGCATTAACTAGTTACATTTGCAAATTTATCGTAAGTTAGTTATGTGGATGAAACAGAAATGTGGACAACGATATCTATGCACTGGAGCGTCGGAACAAAAACCGATAAATCCACATAAAAAGTCATAAATCGTGAGTTATCAGTTTTGTTCCGACGCTCACGACATTTATTTAATGTAAAGGCGGATTAGGGTCAACTCCACAGAGATAGTGTCTGTGGTCAACTCTTTACTCAAGGCAAGTTCGAGACCACAGTATTAGAGTGGTCTGTGTTCGAGACCCTAAGAATTAATGGGCTCCCAGCTCCCAATCGTTACATTTGTTAGCTTACCCAATCGATTCGGTATAGGAAAGAACCAAGGAATAATCACTGCAGGCTCTTAATATTTCTTTTATTTTTAATTTTTAATAACACGAACCCGTCTGATGGCTTTCGCCGTCACCGTGTTGTCATCTTTTTTTCAAAATTCCTCATCCTAACGAAATCGACAACTAATTTTTGTTTAGTAATTATTGTAAATCGTGATAAGCATTTTAAAGTAAATAATAGATTAAACAATAGTTTTTGCTAACACATTGATTGCTAATAATATACGCTATACCTACATAAATATCGTTGCTAATAATCTAATTATTTAAATTTTATTTGTAAGTCAATGATTTAAATGTTTAAATGAAGGCTCTCCCAAACAATCACAAAGTAAGTAAGACTCATTGCGTACTGAAAAATGTGAAAAATACGACAAATTTATTCCTGTACAAACGAGTTCACGGTGCGCTACTAGTTTTGCAATGTCAGTAGTAATTACACTGAAATGTATACATAAACTCGTGCTCGTGTGCCTACCGTACGGTGTGTCATCCATCTCTTATTTACAAATCTACCAGCAAAAAGTCACAGTTACGCGACGGGATTTAGTAATGTCATTCTATATAAGCTATAGTGTCAGGAAAAACATATAAAATGACAATACATAGATAGACATCGTTGTAAAACGCCATCAGTTAATACAACAAACCAGCCTGTCCTTTGTTGCTCAATACCCGACTATTGAAAGTAGTCCCTAAATTTCAATGGATTATTATACACTTCCGGACACATAATTCGAGCCATCACGCGTTTTCAGTAATAAGTGCCCTAAGCGTAAGCAATGCTTGATTGATCAAAAACTATTAAGCAATTTTGAAACTAGTATACTAAACGTCTTTTTCTTCGATGATAACATCTCTCTTATATTTTTGTATTCTATACCTTTACGACAAACATGCGAGTTGGCTCGAATTATGTGTCCGGGAGTTTATTACTATGTTATAATAATAATATACAATGAAAATTTGTTAATGTATTCTATTAAAGAACTGCTGGGTAAAATGGTAACTAGTTATTTATATACTTATGTCTGGGTCTCCATACAAAGCAAAATCTTAGATATTAATCTGACTAATTGCCACATCCCTACTTATATCACAGTACTACAATTATACTCTAATCGGTATGGGGGTCTACCTTCCGTTCTTCGTCTGACATTCGTCCGGAACAATTACTGTCAAATAAGTAATATTCGACCAAATTAACAGCTTCATACTTGAAATTATCTTTTGATTTGATCAAGTGTTACTTATTTGACAGTAATTGTTTCTCGCCCTGATGTCGGACACAGAACGGAAGGTAGACCCCCCATACCGATTAGAGTATAATTGTAATACTGTGATATAAGTAGGGATGTGGCGATTAGTCCCCCCAGGTCTAGCAGCAATAAACGAATGGAATATAGGAATGTGAGCTTGTCTAATATCCTTGTCTAATGTTTTGTAACCGTTGCCTTAAGGGGCCACCGGGGACCAACCGACAATTTCTGATAATGTTTAAACTCAGACTCAGTGTATGTTACTATGGGGCATTTTTATTATAAAAAAAAATATTTATTCAAAAAACTGTCATATTTGAAAGAAATAATCTTAATCTTCAATTCAACAATATTGCACGACGCAAAGACAAACTAATCCTCCGAGAACCGATTTTAGAGATATATAGAAAAGGTCCTTATTACAAATCGATTCAAATTAACAAAATTTCTAACAATTCGAAAATTTAAAATAAACGATACATTCACTTTCAAACTAAAGATGTTTCTTGTAAAAAAAAGCATATTATATTATATATCTTAAGCAATCTTAGAATTCATGCAGGATAGTGATCTGTAACGATATGATCTCAATATATAAATGGCCTATATTCAAGTAGCAACGTAATGAAATGGACCTAACAGTAAGTTAACGTTAGTTCACTTAAACGGAATCAACCAGGAGATTAACATGGTTCAAATCTTTTTTGTAGCTTCAGCACTACAAAATATATCTGCAAATCTGAAGAGCTGAAGCTGAGCAGAGGATACCTGAACAAACAAATGTAAAAAAAAATATTTTTTCGGATTTAAATCGCGTATATTTGTTTTTTCAAACAAACCGACGTTTCCGAGTAGGCAACAAATAAGTATACCTACGCGATTTAGATCCGAAAATATAGTTTTATTTCTTATGTGTAACAATCGCGAAAACCTAAGAACTCTATACTGACAAATAAGTTTTTAACTACATTTGCAGAAATTTGACAAAGCTACCGAAAAAATATTTCAAGAGAATTTTATTTATCAAAAGATGAGGTTTAGGTGCCTACTCAGTAGCAGACTATGTGGGATGTGTTTCCGGGATACAGATAGGGGATTTTATAATAGTTGCGATGTTTTCGTGGTGGTGTTTGGTTGCGTGCCTGTTAGCGAAGCCGGCAGCTGCGGTGGTGGGCGGAGATCCCGCAGCTCCTCCTGAACCTGATGCGGCGGTAGTCTTCGTACAGAAACATGGTTTCGGAGCTCGCATCGAAGGAATTAAAGACAATCGACTTGGATACTATAGTTTCTTCGGGATAAGGTGAAGTTGCCTTCTACCAACGGTGTTCTTAGTTTACTTTGTGTAGTCATAAAATGCAATGGTCGACGAACCTTGTGAGTGGTAGATAAATGTTAAGGTCTTAAACGAAATATATACATAATATTTTACAAAGATTAACTATGATTACTACGGTAAAGATTTGAGTTAATAGTGATGAATGATTCAACGTGGATAATGTATTATATTCTAGATATGCGGAACCACCTTTAGGTCCCCGTAGGTTCCAAAGACCTGTGAGACAACTGATGATGGGCGACATAACCGCTAATCGTTCCTGCGCACCATGTCCACAACCTGATCCTTACAACCCTAACAGGATTATTGGTCACGAAGACTGCCTATGTCTTAATATCTTCGCCCCGACACTTCCTGGCGAGGAAAGAGGTAAAGTTTCGGTAGTAAAAACGTAACCGGTTTATATTGGTCCGAAGCCATGTGAGTTATCGATGCCTTTTCTATATCCAGGTTCACCTGTTGTTTTCTTCATACATGGAGGTAACTACCGTAGAGGATCCACGTCTCCGTATGGAGTAAGTGTACAAAATATACATATACAAAATAGAATTAAATACCGTAGACATTCAGCTGAGTGTATAAATAATGAAACCGAGGCTACGAACCTGCAGTAAACGAGATACTATTTCAAAAACTTCGTACAATTTAATTTTCTTTAATCCTCCATCTACATGAGAAGTGATATAGACCATAATCACATGTGGCTAAAGTTCAACGTCTTGTTGAACTTTAGCCACATGTGATTATGGTCTACTTAACTTCCTTATGTGCATTTCAGGGTCAACATCTCGCACAGAAAGATACCATATTGGTGACAGCGCAGTACCGGTTGGGGTCGCTGGGTTATTTTAGCTCTGCAGAGAGGGATGCTTCAGGGAATGCCGGACTCTTTGATTTACGGGCTGTTATGGCTTGGGTAAGAATTTCAGCTGTTTATATGTATCTACTAGCATTCCTCACTATGTCTAACCACTAAGGTGTTTAACATGTTTATAGATTGAAGACTACATTCAGTTTTTTGGCGGCGATACATCCCGTATCGTGGTGATGGGGCAAGGTTCAGGTGGGAGCGCTGCTTCCCTCATGGCGTTGTCAAGCGAAGGTAGAAGCGCGAAAGGAGTAGCTGCTTTGTCCGGTACTCCATTATCACCAGGAGCAGTGCGACAGGATCCTGCTAAATACGCGACAGAACTAGCCAAAAGGACTAATTGCCCTGAAAAACCAGTTGAACGTTTAGTTAACTGCCTGAGAAAGATGCCAGCAGAGAAAATTGTTCAGGTTGAATACAATATACATTGTTCAAGTTTCAAGACTTTTTTCTTCTAAGTAAAAGATTTTGAAAAGTTGATATCATTTTTTTTATATTCCAGGCGGATTTGAACATGGATATGGACAATGTCGATACTGTTAAATTCTTAAATGACATCTCCCAACGTTCAGGTATGTGGACAACCTAGGAGGTATTACCATCACATTGTCTGAACTATGATTCGGGTATAATTTTCGAGGGTATTTTTCATTCTTATGCTATAAGCCATTTAAACCTTTCTGTTTGTTGAACGTTTTCCAACTAAATTCTTTAGGAGCTGGAGCACGAGTGGAAGGTGAACATGATGGCCGGGGTCTGCCTCCTATGGTGTCGGAGCAACCAACGGAGTCGTTGAAAAAGAAGCGTCAGCAGAGTCCATTTTTGACTGGTGTGAACTCCGCAGAAACTTCACGTGCTGTTTTTGGTAACCACGTTTTAAATTCCAGAGAATTTTGGTACGAAATGTACGTTTAGCAAATGAATTACGACATAAACTTCATTAATGATTTGTTCCATAAATAATTAGGTAAGTTTGTACCTACCGTGAGTATATACCAATTCAGTACTTAGGTGAGTGTACAAATGTTTTACATATTTACTAAATTGGCAACGGGTCCTCTAGGAAACTTGTTTGACGTTTTCTGTCTATATACCATTAAATGTTTTTGGGTATAATTTAGCACAGATATTATAACATAATTATTATATTACGTAAATGTGAAGTTTTTAAATTACCAAAACCAGTATTTATATTTACAGGAAAGTACTCTGAATTTCTAACAAAACAGCTGACCACAGTCAAAGACTTCATAAAGAAGGACCTGATAGGAGGTCTTCGAGGTACGATCGAGGGCGTTCAAGGCCTGGTGCCCATAGCAACGTCTTCCCTGACACAGGTCTTGCCTCTCCCTGATTACTACCAGGCCTTGTTTGACACTACTTTCAATACTGTTGATGGACTTTCGGTAATCGCTGAAGCTACAGGTGAGAATTCTTGAAAAAACATACGGGAATATACTACACATAAGCCCAAATTTCCGTGCAGTGTTTTGGGATTGTTTTCAATAATATCCATTTACTAAAAAGAAATCCATAACATCTTTCCAAATGTAAAATTACCTTAATTAAATCTATGTTATTTCAAACCTAGTTACGAACAGTGCCACATCTATATTTTTCGTGCCATTTACAGTGCCCTTATTGACGCTTGGTGATGTATGTATATAGTCAAGTGTGTCATAGTAAAATTACAAATTACCTATTATTAGGGACAACATTGTTGATATTTTTACTAGTAACACGTTCTATTTTATAGCCACGCTTGCCGTGTTAAGGTTTCTGAAGAACAGATTTCATTATTCTAACTGATATGAATCAACAGTAATTATTTGTCAGAACTCGTTTATTATTCTGTGATATATACTTAGCTAATTTTGCACTGAAAGGTTACCATTACACGGATGTTTTTTTATAATTTTAGTCTAATGTATATTCCCCATAATTACATCAGCAAGGATCATTATTTTGTCCTAAAAGGTATAATTGATTAGATTAATTAATTTCTGCAACTATCTGCATGTTCTTGGTTGACTCTCTTTTCTCTCTAAGTACCATAATTTGTATGTGTAATATTTAGGTATAAATATCGCGGAGTTGTTGTTGTCTTGCTTAGCCCCTTTAATATACTGCACTTCATGTTTATCTCAGATTTGTCATCAGCATCAATGAACGTCTTAATCGCTAATGTTCATAAATCTAAAACTTCATAAAATAAAATAAAAAATAAAAACAGTCACAATTTCAGGGCCAATAAACAACTTACGTGTATGTAGAAATGTATAGGAATAATAATATCTAACAAAAAGTACCAAACTATTGCTAAACAACATTAGTAAAAACCTTAGAGCAACATTCAACCAAAAATTGCTAGTGTAGAGAAGTTTCTCTTTTTACTTTTTTTATAAAACTATTTTGCAGCTGCAAAATAATTTTATTATTACAACTACTTTAGCCTTGGGCACCCCTCTGTCTGCACCCCACGAGGGTGCCTCTATATACGACCCTTTTTAAACCCAAAGCCGAACGCTGCAGTGCGCTCCCCAAACAGCCCAAACAGGGCCAGGTAGTTAAAGCGTTTGTTGACTATACTGTACGATATACCTATATATATATATATATATATATACACATATTTTATGTAATACCATATTATTATGAATAGTATATGTGCCTTGCTGTTTGTACTGCATTGAAATTAATTTTACATTATAGTGGGCCACACCTAAAGATCTAGGTACAGTGCGTATTCTTTTCTAAAATTGAAAGTTTAATAAGAAGAAAAAAAACTTCATTGTAAGAGCGTTTGCGCACTACGTGTCCGACTCGTATCAGGGGGTCTACTCTCGATCTCCGTCCGACATCCGTCCGAAACAATTACTGCCAAGTAAGCAATACTTGACCAAATGAAAAGAAGCGTGATGCGAATGAAGCTTCATACTGGATACTTGTCTTTTTATTTTGTCGAATATTACTTATTTGACAGTAATTGTTTCGGACGGATGTCGGACGGAGATCGAGAGTAGCCCGCTAGTTCCGAATCCGAAAAATGATGGTCCGAAATGTTACAGGTGTCCGAAGTGTCATATTATCTCATCGAATATATATAACCAGAAATAGAGACGAAATAAGGGCCATCCATCCCTGGCAACTCATTAGTCAAATGGTACTGATATCACTTTTAAATATCAATTCTCGCCTGCACTGAAATCACAAATTAGAAAGCTGGAATAGTGCAGCGCCAACAACTGATTTGTCTCTAATTCTGGTCATATACTCAATGTTTTACCTCTAAGATCTTAGAGGATGGAAAAAATAATCTGAGATGTACAAGCGATATTTGTTTTTTCGGATGCGAATCGGACTTAGTGCACAAGCGTGTTATTATTATACAGTTTTCAATGATCTTACAGCTCCTATATACTTGGACCACAAAAATCCATGGTAGGTAGTGACCGGATTAGTTATTTCAGGTTGGCTCGATCTATGATATTTAAAATAAATATTGTAAATATAACAAATTTGCACAAATGTTTTTAAATATACAAAGTGCAACCCCAAGAATTTCTTCTCGAGGTAGTCTGCCTTACAAATTAGTTGTAGAGTTTAATCAATGCGACGATTTCAAGTGTGATTTGCTTACCTTTTAAATAAAGATACACATATTTGAATTTGAATTGAATTTATGTGCATATAATGCTCAAAATTGAGTTCAAAATTACATATAAATTTCGTTCCTTGCATTGTAACTTGCACTTCAAAATGTATTATTTAAAAAGTTAGAAGGAGACTTTCCATAATTATCAGCGCTTAGCTGTTGGGTTTTTCGCTACTACCCATGTCTGCAGACAAAAGATGAACAATTTGTGACCATGAGTATTTTGCAAATACGCAACATAGCACGTTGAAATCAATACCGCCACTACACGAAAATCTCAACTGCCGGGAAGTGTCGTTAAAATTTTGGAATGTAGTAAGTTTAAATTTGAAAAAATGTAAGAGGTTATATTTTTATTGTTTCTTAAAAAGAGGCATTTTCGTTGGTTTCAATGTGTGTAGTGATATAGTACATAGATTGCGCTGGTGTATATATTTCAAATACACATATATGTATGTTACTAATGAGCAATATATGAAATTACAGGAGACGCGCTGTTCAACTTTCCTGCGTACGAGAGTGTGAAAGCGTGGAGTTCTGGTAGCCCAGCTTACCTGTACAGCTTCGAGCATGTGGGTAACCTAAGCAAAGGATCGTATTTCTTGCCCGGCGACCCACTAGCGGGTTAGTAAATAAAGAATATCATTACTTGGTTTCAAATGTTGGAACTTGCTAAAATGCAAAGGTAACGGTATGGGATGGTGCAACGGGCTGGCGTCCGCAACTCGACGTCAAGGAGCTTATTTTGCGCGTATTTGGATATCTACTTATCTGTTTATTGAAAGTATTTCAAAGACTCAGCATTCATAATATTCTTGATTTTTTAAAGTAGCTACCTAGTTACACCTGTAACGAAGCCTGTTGTATTGAAGAATGTGAATTTATCTCATTCTAGGGCTAACATATCGCACACGAAACAAAATACTGTCGTAACTCAAAATTGGGCAATTGAATACTGAATAAAACCAATGTACATGTATATTCTCATTTATAATACTTACTCGTCAACTTCTTCGAGAGTAAAGGTTCCCACTGTTATAGGGGTGGGTACGACATGGTCATTCGACGTAAGTCGTCTTGTCCAGGTAAATTTTTAAATCTACCTGATGGAAAACTACATTGAGGTGACTAAGCATGATGCCAAGCTCTTTCAATGATTCTGCCATGACCACGTTATAGTCAGCAAATCGAAAATGAGTGATGAACTCGATATTGATTTTGACTCCGAGGCCTTTTCAGTCCAGTAACTTGAATACATCTTCCAAAGCAGTGGTGATTAGTTTCGGAGAGAGAAATTACGTATCCCTGTCGAACACCTATTTGCAATTGGATAGGCCTTGTGCACTGATCCTGTGTCAATGTACGAGGTGATGACTAATAATTGAAAAAAAATGATAATTTCCAGATGATACAAATAGCAAGAACAGTAGCATTAAAGGACGAAACGCTCAAGTTTCCAAAGGGCCATCACATGGAGATGAACTAGCGTACATATTCCAACCACTTGATGCTGATGGTAAACCAATAGTACAGAAAGTGTCTAGCACCGATAGTCGTGTTAGAGAGAATTTCTTGGACATAATATCAAATTTTGCACATAATCTTAAACCCATGGATGAAAAAAACAACAAAACAAAACTGTTCGGGGTGCTTCCTTTCTCCAAAGACAATGAGCAATTTATTAAAATTAAGGAAGATGTTACACTGGATAAGAAGTTTAGGTGAGTCAAATATTTTAATTCTTGCGTCAGCAGTTTTATTTTGTGGTGAAAAATTTAAACGAGCCTTTTGCATAATCATTATATAAGTGCCTAGGTATTCTAATTCCTAGAATTACTTTTGGAATTGTGAATGTACCAAATCAATACGAGTTGGAGTTATCTGATGCAGGTACACGCTTATACATTAAAGTCCTTAAATAAATATTTACGGACTAGATAATCCAGTTCCTAAGTACGTAGCCACACGAGCTGTATTTCGATTTTGTCGCAATTGCATCGAATGCAGTCGAACAGTAATTTGGGTACCTGCAATAGGCTCGACTGATTTGCAACTACCATTGTATAAATAGTATTTTGCAGTTCTATGTAGTCAGAATGTACTTTGCGTGAATGTACCATTTATACTCTCTCGTACTGTAAACAGCTTGTACGCTTATTGTACTATTCAATTTCAAGGGCCCTACATCAAGGGTGGGCGTGGCCCCTAGTTGCGGCGCCGTTCTTATTAACTTGTATATTATAAAAATCGCAAAGATTAGGGACCCTAACTCCCTTACTTTTATTACAACTTCCTAAGTCAGAGTTAGGGTGCCTATCGAGTGGAAACCGAGTAGTGTGTAGATAACTGTTGTAAATGATTTATTTATTTTAGGTTCTGCCAAATGGGCCTATGGGGTAATATGGCAGAAAGGATAACAGACGCATTGTGTAAGAATCTTATTGCAAAGGTGTTAGATATATCTAAGTTGCCGTTGCCTTTGCAAGTGACTACTCCGAATTTGCCTTTGAACAATATGCCTTTAGTTGGTGGGCTGGTTGGTCTCGGTAAAACCTCTCAAACAACAGAATCTGTAAAACATGTAGTGCAGGTTACCAAAACCCCATCAAACTCCAAATCAAGTGGTGGTGGTGGTTTGGGATCACTCTTTGGTGGACTGTAATTCGTAATACATTAATGACTAATGTAATACGCTGACTGATGCCAGTGGTTGGAAAAGGTGTTCCACATACACAAATAGATACATGTATAGATATAGCAACAAGGAGCGACGTAGTGTTGTTAAAACCATCAAATATTAATTAATCCTTTTTACATTTAAATTAAAGTCACAATAATCATTATAAATACTCCGAAATCCACTCCGAGTGCGTGTGAGTACCTGCGAGTGCGTGTGAGTACCTCGCAGACACTCACAGGCACCCCTGTGAGTGCGCACTCGCGGACTCGTACGCACGCTGGCACTTGCAGGTTATACTAACCACATTAACTAACCACAATTCTAATGCACATTTAGTGCATTAGAATTACTTTAAAATCCAACTTCGACTATTTAGGTTAGTAGTTTTGTCCGAAGCAGTAAAACCATTTCCGGAAATCCGGAATTCGAAAAAATCAATTAATTAATATTTGGTAGTTTTGACAATTCTATGTCGATCCTTGTAGCTGTATGTATCTATGTATGTAATGTGGAACATCTTTTTCCGACCATTGCTGATGACTAAGATACATTAGTCATTCATGAACAATGAACATCTTGCTTTACTTTTATTTTAAATGAATGAATAAAAAAATGTAGGCACTTGTTTGCGTACTTATAAGCTGTTTCTTTAATTATCTATATTTTGTTTACGTGATACAGTTTTTTAATGTTTCGTTGCGACTCATACTCGAATGGAATAATTCATTAATATTATATAGCACAAATTCACACGTTATTGTTTAAGTGTTTGTATTTGGTTGGCATCAAAATGGATACACCTAATTTGTATATTTGCAATTTGTATTTAGGCTAGTACAGTGGTGGTGTATCAGTATAGATAACCATAGTCCGTGTAGATAACGTACGTACATGCAGGTACTTCAATCTTACAAAGTTTAATGACATGTTGCACATACCTACTCGAAAATATATACCTAAAAGAATAGTCGATAGGAGTCACAGGGTCGTGTACGAGCTGATATAACCTATAATAAAAGCACATAGTATAGGTAAATATGTGCTTATAATGTATTTTTAGTTTTTATTAACAAAATGTGTCATCTAACATTTCATACCAAAGTTAAATGTACTGATTACAGAATTATGTACCGATTTACACATCTTCCATCTATACGCACATTTTATCAGTAATATACATTGACCTTTAATATACGTTAATTTGGACTAAATTATATCTATAGTTATTAAAGCGATGTCGACTTGAGCCCGTTAGAAAAAGCTTATGTACATGTAATAGGGCCGAAAAGGACAATGCGGCTTTCGCTTCCGTGCGGACTGCCTTTATTACATGTTACCCAAAGCGTTTTTTAAACAGCATAATGAGATTCCGTGACGTTGAATGTGTTGACTCCCTAGTGTGTCCAGTTATCGGTTATAAAAAGCGTTTTCCTCACAGTTCAGGTTTTTAATATAATTAAAAGATTGCAAGGCCATTTATGTATCTGCTTTCTCAGAGTGTGGTTGTATGGACGATATTGAATCGCCCTGTGAGTTTTGTTTACAGTTTGAAGTTGTTACCCGATGATTATAAGTACATACAGGTGTGTAACCATTATAGTTAAAATCACTTGTCGACATCGTGCCTTGCTGGAGACTATAACAAGCGGTAATTGCCCTAACGAATTAGTGTTAAACTTGACATAGACGAAAAACCAGTAAAAATGGCGAGATTGTTCTTAGTATTGTTCGTCTGTTTTCTGTTTATTGGAGTAAATGTGAACAGTCGCCTTCTTAAATCTGAAGCAATTCGTGTGGTAGCTGACAACTCACAGCACGACGACGAGCTTATGATACTACTAAGTGAATCTAGCAATGATGGGGACAATCTATTACAAATGCAAAGCCTGGATCACGTTGATGAAGTCAAGAAATGTGCTGTCGTTGGAGAATTTGTAAGTATTAGCTTTGTTTTTGAGTTCGTATTGATAAAAAATCCATATTCAATTAAAGCAATTGCAAATATTAAGAAAAACTCATAAGAGCGCTCAAACTTTAAATCCGGTCTTGTTGGGAATAACCAATGGATATGTGTTAGTGTTAGGTATATATAATTACACTCAATAATTGTAAACAGGCAGGAACGTTGCGTTTGTAAATAATGTGAGAACGCCAAAATATTAGTATAATTTGATTTTTTTTTAAATTTATTAAGGCTTTGGCAAAGCCATCAACCCAAACACGAAGTTTAATCGCGTTTTAATCTTCGATTAAGGCATAATAGCACTATCCTATTCCACTTTAAACTAGATTTCACACAATAATTGAAAGTCAAAATAAAAACGACATTTTTCCCTCCAAAAGGTCCAGAGCGAATCGTATAATTTGATTCTCTTTACACAGACAACATTTATTTTTTTAGGTAAAAGATAAACAAAACATATATACATCTTATTTTTTTGTTTCAGTGTATGAATAACTCGGACTGTTGCTCCAATTTATGCCTCGGATTTTTGAAAAGATGTGTTTCTGGATACATATTACGTCATCTTTATTATAATTAAGTAGTATTGTTCTACGAAATTACCGTTACATTTCGAAGTTTTATATAATGTTAATCTTAAAATAATGAAAAATATATAACGTCTATTTAGATTTTCGATCCGGATGAATGGTATGTCTATGATGTGTTAGGTCAGGGGGATTGACACCGAAGTGTTGAATCTCCTTCATAGCATCTTCTGATGTCTTCCATAACTCAGGATAGTTTCGATTGAATTCATTGTACCAATTATGAACCTGCAAATTACAAATTACTATAAATAAGCACAATATTCTTTTTCTCTTACCTTTTCTTATGGCGCTTCTTATTATAGCGTCACCAATTCGCGGATCAACAAATAAATGCTTTGTTCTCGCTAAATATTATAGCAATGACTAAGCAAAGAATACTGACGCAAAGCTGACTAAATAAAGATGTAATTATATAAATAGTAATTCTTCAAACACAGAAATAAAAGTATTTTGTTGGTTGACCTGATTGACGAGACTATTTTTTCTATAAAATGGTGAAAATATAAATACAAAAATTACTTTTACAAAATTATTCAAAAAATATAATCCTGAACTCCTTTAGTACAACTACCTATTTATCTCTCTTGTAATTACTAAAATTATATGCTACAACGATTGGAATTCTTTCCAGCGGAAGCAGAAATTAAAACGCCTTTCATTTTATGTCGAGTGTCACCGTGTCCTACAGTCGAAATACAGGGGGCCTACTATGAGCTTATAAGCAGCCAACCAAGTTCCATGCAATTCACTTGACGTGGTGAAACTGAATTGCTTATATTCGTATGACCTACACAAAGTTGATTTTTTTTTCTTCTTTCCATAAAGGAAAAGGCAAAGGTTTTACACCATACAGCCAAGTCTTGGTACATTATTAAGTCTTTTGAGCCATGTCTTCGTTTAATTATGTTTCTGTAAATATGGCCGCCACAAAGGGGATAGGCAATTTGAGGCGGCGTGCTTGGATTGGCTCGGGATTCCTCAGAACGGGCAGATACGGGTATTTTAGTTCGAGATTCGTATAACTTCGCGTTTTAATCTTCGATTAAGGCACAATAGCACTATCCTATTCCACTTTAAACTAGATTTCGCAAAATAATTGAAAGTCAAAATGAAAACGACACGTTTCCCTCCAAAAGGCCCAGAGCGAATCACACAAAGTTGAAAGAGTATGGCATGTCAGGATGATTTTTACTTTTTAAACGTTAATTATTGTCTCTGGCTGGCTGGCTGACATCTGACAAGAGCGAGATGGAAAGACATACTAATTCATATGAAAGAAATAGACAGATGTACTATCCTGGGAGCGTTCAAGCACTATTAACCGATTGTGTTCGAAACGAGAATAATTATATTTTTTATTAATTTTATTATTGATTATACAATGATTATACATAATGCGTTGTTTTGCAATATCGGCAACTTTTCAATCGTACTTTACAATTTGTCGTACGACAAAATTACATGTCATATTTAGTCATTATCTATGAAATTAATACGGTGACTGCAATTTGATAAACATAATTGGAACGTATCTTGTATTCGTACATTTTCATTGGTTGCATTAAAGTTAAATTTGGCACTATTTAAAAGTTATATTACTATTTTCGCGAAGTCAATAATATTATTAAAATGACTAAAATTCCGTTTAAATTGCAATAACATCCATGCCAATAATTTATCGACAATACTTTAAAGATTGGGAACTCGAACCAAAATTTTCAAAAAACGCTCAATAGTTAATAGTATTTATTTATAGACAATTGGCTATATACATACACATATATATCCTATAAAGATAACAAATAATTAAGAAACTGAAAATTTATTAAACATATTATAATCAACTTAAACGAAATTTCTTAAAAATGTAACAAAATAAAAAAAGTAAGTCACGGAGTAACTTTTTTGAATTGCTAATTTTTGCAGATGGGACCGCCATTTGCATGTGCAAATGGCACGTCAGGATACGATTTTGCTATGAAGGAAAAGGTGAACGGATTTCGAATGGGGAACGTAACCTACATGGACAGTGAATAGTTTTTGTGAGGTTATAGTACGAATTCGACAGGCAATCCAACTAACAGGCTTAATACAGTTGCTCTAAGAGCTCATAGTAGGCCCCCAGGTACCTCAGGTACGGATATTAAAAATGGCCGCTTACCTAGTTGCAGGTACCATACCATCCACGGTTTGATTTTTTATTCTGCTTTGACTAGTGATAATTTTACTTAAGAATTGACAACATACCTGCAACAAAAGAAGCAACTTAAATAATTTTAGAAGTATACATATAACCAAATTTTACTTACCCTACAATATTTTGAGAAGTCGAAGTCAATAGCTTCCAACGTCATAACACACTTGAAGAAAGGGAAGTTGGTCCATGGCGATAGTGAGGTGAGCCGCAGCAAGTCTTGCGCACGTTTGTGTCAGATATGTTTCATAGACAGCTAATGCTAAATGCACTTTCTTCAAGCTCAAGCCCAATGGGGTTTGTTCATAGACAAAAAATATTGGTGCCATCTGAAGTTAGTGCCTACATAATTATAACCACAGACTATTAGATGCTAACGCATAACTATCAAGGCTATGTGTCACTTTGGATGTTTTAAGGAGAGAGTGATTCTATCGAAAGTACCCACGTATTTTTCATTATTTTTATTGAGGATTCACTTACAGTGTAGTAGACTGGTGTAAAGCGGCCCTCGAATGACGACCTTGGGGTGAAAAACGTCCCAGAGGGAGACCGCAGATGCTTTGGAAGGATGACATGAGAAAGTGGCGGGGTTGAATTGGATACAGGTGGCACAGAACCGAGAGAAATGGCAGAAACTGAAGGAGGCCTACACCAATATGATTGAGACTGTCTACAAAGAAGAAAACACTTTTTAAAACACTAGATAACAAGTGACCACTTTGTAGTTAAATTATGGTGTAGAACTTAGAATAATAACGCATAGAAACCTAGCCCGCACATGTTAAGTGAGGCAAATTGTAGGACGCCCTATGGGCTTACACGAGCGAGCGGGCTGTCAGTGCTCAAGGTCAAGTTGCTCAAAAATTTTTGCTGAAAATGACGAATTGTGCGGTAATTGGGTTTAAAAATAGATCAGACAAATATAAAATAGACACTAACATCACATTCCACAAGGAAATTACGCGTTTCATCTTGTATTTTTATATAAATATTCACTAAAACAGAAAATTAATTTCGTTGCAACAAGATACGAAAATGTTGCGAAGTAACGGGTTTTTTCTCCCCATTTTGCTATTCTGTTTCAAAATAATTATATTACGAAATTTTTTGAGAATAGGCAATATCGCGACAGTTGCAAAATTTCTACAAATGTACACCGCCGCAACAACATTGTAGAGAATTTACGTTAGCTATTTTTACGAAATATATTTAGTATTTGCCTTCATTAGTTTCATGTGAAAAATCATTATTCTTGTTCATCATACACTCATTTAAAAAAATTGTCTTGCCCAGACTTAAAAGTTCTTAACTAAAATTATTTCAGAAAACTAACTCTGACTAAAAAGTCATCGTCAGTTCTCCAAAATCGTGTATAAATAACTTTCAGGTTCAGGTTCTTAATTGTTATCGTGTACTTTTCATGTAAACATACCCACAGATAATATCAGGCTATTTATATATTCAAATTCGATAGTCGCACTTAAACTCGCTTGTAGGTTTTTGTTCATATATGAGTTAAATAAGAATTGGGTAGTATTTAATAAGGTGCCTACAGATTTGCTCGACATTGTCGATCGACAGTAACGATTGAGAATTATAGACGTTTTCGAGGAGTTTTAGAGTGCTTATTACGAATGTAGCATTAATTTCTAAATCCAAGATGGTTGACAACAAATTTCAAAAATGTATTTTTGGTAAACCATAAGGAAATGGCATGTATATCTGAATACAAGATGGGGGACAAGACTTCTAATTATTCTTCTTCTAATTCTTTGCCATCTTGGATTTAGAAATATGTGCTATATTCGGAAAGAGCAGCCCCTAATACCTTGAAAACGACACCCAACTTGGCATTATTCGAAAAATCATGCCCGCCATCTTGGATTTAGAAATTAGTGCCATGTTCTCAATGAGCACCCCCAAATACCTCGAAAACAACACCCAACTTGCTATTATTTGAAAAGTCATGTCCGCCATCTAGGATTTAGAAATAAGAGCTATATTCCTAATGAGCACCCCCAAATACCTCGAAAATGATCCCCAACTTGCCATTATACGAAAATCGTGCCCGCCATCTTGGATTTAGAAATGAGTGCCATATTCGTAATGAGCACCTCCAAATACCTCGAAAATGATACCCATATTGCATTTATTTCAAAAGTCGTGTCCGCCATCTTGGATTTAGAAATAAATGCCATATTCGTGATGAGCACCTCGAATACCTCGAAAACGATTCCCATATTGCATTTATTTGAAAAGACGTGTCCGCCATCTTGGATTTAGAAATGAGAAAAGTCGTGTCCGCCTTCGTGTATTCAGATATAAATGCCATTTCCATAAGGATTACCAAAAATAAATTTTTGAAAATTCCTGTCACTTGACGTTGTCGATCAACAGTAACGATCGACAAAATCGAACATATCTGTAGGCACCTGATCGACAGTAACGATCGACAAAATCGAGCAGATCTGTAGGCACCTCTAACTTAACGATGAGTTAAGCAAGATACAATTTCCCCACTTTTGAGGGAAATGTTATTCCATGGCATCATTATTTGTATATTTGTGTGCGTGCCGACAAGCGTAAATACAAGTTGCTTACGCCTACATGAATTTGATTTTTGCCTCACTTGTGACAGTTCGTTTTTTATGAAACTATCATTCTATGCGTTATTATTCTAAGGTGTAGAAGAAATTAACATTTCTTCTTGTTTTTGACTTGTCAGTTATTATAGATACGCTCTTTACAGTACATGGTTATAATAATAATTCTTTTTTTTTACTAGGTACATATCTGTGACGACTAATATGCATGTATGGGTATTGTAGTTCCTAAATTAGGTTTATCTGAGTAAACTGTCTGACTGAATAAAAGTATCGGATTATGGTTTACCGTACATCTAAACATACGTACATAACACTATTTAGTAAGGAGATATATTGGAAGAACTATAGGACAATGGAGAGAAAATGCGCAGCATATGCTAAAAACAATCCGTTAAATATCTACTAAAACTAGATAACACATTTCTAAGGCTCAATTTATATTGCGACGGAACGGAATGGAAGCGTATTTTTGTATAGCGTAATATGTATAATATCGAATGTAATATGTGTAATATATTCTATATAGCGTAATGAACTTTATGGTCAAATATTGTGTAACGTACAAACTTGATACGAGCCAAAAATAATGACGCGCGTCTTCCG